CAGGGCTTTGCTCAATAAAATGCCTTTGAAAAGCAAGGTGGGGACTATGGATTTAGTTCAGTGGTTCTGCTGCCAGCCTGAAACATGCAAGGTCCTCAGTTCGATCCCTGGTACCTCCCCAAAAAAAAACCCAAAAAAACATACAAACCCAAATTAAGAGACATTCATCAAAATAGCTCGTGCAACACGTCAAGGTCATGAAAGATAAGAAAAGACTGGGGAACTGCCACAGATTAAGAGACTAGAACATAACAACTAAGCATAATGTGGGATTCTACATTGGACCCTAAAACAGAGAAAGGGCATTAGTGGGAAAACTGGCTTCATGCTGTTGCAACCATTGTTATTTTCTGGTTTAGTAAATGGGTGAGGGGTAATTTAAATAGCTAACACCAGAGGAATTTATTGTTCAAGATAAATGTGAATTCTTTGTACAATTTTTAGAACTTTTTTTCTGAACTAATCATAAAGGCTGGGGTGACATAGGCCTCTAATCCCAGCAGTTGGGAGGCTACAGGAGGGATTCAAGGCCAGCATTAAGCCAGGATCGATTCCGTGGTGAGACTGTATCAAAAAACTATAAACCAGGAAAGTTTTGAAATTTAAAAAATTGATGTGTAGTATCTGTGCAGGAAGGATGAATTAGATTTCACAAATAACCTGGAAGAAAGGAAGGAAACTACACACACACACACACACACACACGCACGCACGCACACACCTATATATATATATATATATATATATATATATATATATATATATATATATATATATATATATATATATATATATGCCTCCTGGCATAGAAAAGGTGTCTCTGGGGCAGAACATACTGTCTTTAGGTTCTGGCTGACTGTCCTCCTGTACGGGATGTCAGAGGGCAGCTTCTCCTGCAAGGTTATGCGCACTGGGACACCCTGGCAGGGCGGGGGTGGAGCAGAGACACTGTCTGGGGACAGCCCTTTACCTGTGCCAGCCAGGATACCGAGTCCTGTCACGGACTGTGGGCTTTGTCCTGAGGAGGGGGCTTACGAAATTTTTTCCCACTGGCACTGACCAAGTCAGCATAAGTTTGGACCTATGTCCTATTCTCTGAGCCTTGGAAATATCTCTGTGGGGGAAAGGGGCTCAGCCTCCAGCAGGTCCAGTCACATGTCTCAGCAGGTGCACATGGGCCTTAGGTAAGCTCCTGTGAGGCCCAGTGCACTGCAGAGGTGCAGGCACGAGGCGATGAGGTCCTGCCCTTACCACGGCTTAGCACCACCCACGATGCCTGTGTGCTGTTTCCATGAGATCCAGTCTCCACAGGGCACAATCTCTCTGAGTCCTCCCAAAGACACAGGTGAGGTGGGCACCATTACTGTCCTTATTTTCAAAAATTCTGACAAAATACACATAATATAAACTATGCCATCTTAACCATTTTAGTGTACAGCCCAGTAGCATTCACATGGTTGTGCAATCAGTCAGTCTCCAGAGTTGTTTTCATCTTACGCTTGCAGACTAGATACTTATTAAACAACTCCCCTTTCCTCCCTTCTTTTGGCCCCTGATAAGCATTACTGCTTGCTGTTTCTGTGAGTATTTCTGAGTGACTGTTCTTCATAACTTGTATAAGTGAAATCACACAATATTTGTCCTACTGTGACTGGCTTATTTTACTAAGGGCTATGTCCTTGAGGTTTAGCCATGTTGTAGCAGGTGTCAGAATTTTCCTCCTTTTAAACCTGAATATATATA